CAGACTGGGATGTTTTCCCTAGAGCAGAGGAGATTGAGAGGGGACACAATTGAAATGTATAAAATGATGAGGGACACAGGAAACAATGTTTTCCCCTTGAGGGAGGGATCAATGATCAGGAGCACAGATTTAAGGGAAGGGGCAGGATGTTCAGGCAGGATGTGAGGAAAACCTTTTTCACCAGAGGCTGGATCTGGAACTCACTGCCTGTGAGGGTGGGGGAGAGACAGAAACCCTCATCACATTGAAGAAGGATTTAAATGTGCCCTTGTGATGTCAAGGCACACACAGCTATGGGCCAAGTGCTGGAAATGGGGCTAGAACAGTGAGGTGGTTGTTAGTGACTGGCACAGACTTGATGGGCCGAAGGGCCTTTTTCTGCACTGTAGAACTTAGTGACTCTATAAAGGTCAATACCCATGTGCTTCCTAGTTGCTTGCTGCACCTGCCTGTCTACTTTCGTTGACTGGTGTACAACAACACCCAGATCCCCTTGTACATCGACATTCCCCAAAATTTCTCCATTTCAATAATATTCTTCCTTTCTGTCTTTCACACCAGAGTGGTCAGGAGTGAGGATGGATGCTTCAGATCAGTGTTCAGGATTGGAAGTCAGTGTCACAGATGCAAACTCTGGTCACTGTAAAGTTCAACTTGAATAAGGAAAAGGTCTGGGATAGACTATTGGTCCTTAAAATTGACAAGGCCCTGGGACTGAGTGAGATACATCCCAGAATTCTGAAGGAAGTGAGGGTAGGAATTCTGGGAGCACTGGCCACAATCTTTCAGCATTCCCTGGATTTGGGAGAGCTGCCAGAAGTTTGGAGAATTGTAAACATTACAGCCTTGTTCAGGAAAGATTGTAAGGACAATCCCAGCAATTGTAGACCTGTCAGTTTACCTTCAGGGATGGGGAAGCTTCTAGAAACAATTAATCAGGATAGAATCAGCAATCACATGGAAAAAGGTGGGATCATTGGGAAGAGTCAGCCTGGATTTCTAAAAGGAAATTATGGTTAATTAACTTAGTGGAGTTTTTTGAAAAGGTAACAGAAAGGCTCGATGAGATAATGCTGTAGATGTGGTTATACATGGATTTTCAGAAGGTGTTTGATACAGTGCCACACAACAGACTTATGAGGAAGGTCATAGGGCATGGTAAAAGGGACCGTCGCAATACAGATACAAAATTGGCTGAAGTATAGGAAATGATCAATGGAGGAAGGTTTGTAGTGGAGTTCCAAGCGGTCAGTATTGAGGCCCTTGCTTTGCTCGTGTATGTTGATGATCTGGATCTTGGTGTGGAACTATAAAAGGACATTGACAAGTTGGTGGAGCAGGCAGATAGATGACAGATGCAGTTCAATGTGGAGGAATGTGAGCTGATGCATTTTGACGAGAAGAACATTGAAAGACAGTGTAAAATATGGGTTGCAATTCTAAAGGGGGAACAGGAGCAGATTATTAAAGGTGGTCAGACAGGGGGAGAGAGCAGTGAATAAAACACACAGTGCCCTCAGCTTTATTAATAGGGGCACTGAGTACCTCAACTGGAGTATTGTGTACATTTGTGGGTGCCACATTATAGGAAAGATGTGAATGTATTGGAGACAGTAGGGATGGTTCCAGGAATGAGAAACTTCAGTGATGAGGAGAGATTGAAGAAGTTGGGAGTGTTCTTTCTGGGAGAGAAGGCGGCTGAGAGGAGATCTGATAGAGGTTTTCAAAATCATGAGAGGGCTGAATAGAATAGATGGGGAGAAGCCATTCCCAACGGTAAAAAGAACAAGAACAAGAGGGATAGTAAGAACTGCCAATGCTGGAGTCAGAGATAACACAATTTGGAGCTGGAGGAACACAGTAGGCCAGGCAGCATCAGAGAAGCAGGATAGCAACTGGAATCTCCACCACTGCCTACCTGCACTCACCTATCACCATCCCACCTACCTTCCCCAGCCCCACCCCTCCTCTCTATTTATTTCAGAGCTCCCTTCCCCCTCCGCCATTCCTGAAGAAGAGTCCCAACCCAAAACGTCAACTTTGCTGCTCATCTGATGCTGCCTGGCCTGTTGTGTTCCTCCAGCTCCACACTGGTTGTCTAAGAACAAAAGGGAATAGAACATAGAACATAGAACATAGAACAGTACAGGCCCTTCGGCCCTCGATGTTGCGCCGACCTGTGAAACCAATCTGAAGCCGATCTAACCTAAACTATTCCATTATCATCCATATGTTTATCCAATGATTTAAAGTGATGTGCAGACAAAGGGAGGTGATGTGAGAAAGATCTTTCTCACACAGTGAATAGTTAGGGCCTGGAATACGTTACCTGGAAATGTGGTGGAGGCAGGTTCAATTGATGCAGGAGGTTTCAGAGGAAGGCACAGGAACAGGAGGCCATTCAGCCCCCCGCTCAAGCCTATTACAAAGTGTTGTGAACTTGGTGTGTGCAAAATTGTAAAATGGGGGAAACGCATCGCATTGTCCCTTTAAAAGATGGTTTTTTTTGGTGCTTAGAGTTAAAATGGATGCCTGAACATCAGCTTAAAGTGTACATGCACAGAAAGCGCCCGAATTGAAGCATTTTGTATTGATCAGTCAAGCAGCATTTTTACCAAGACAACAAATCTTGCAGCATGATCCTGATAAGCTGGGGAAGGGGGCTGAGAAATGGGAAATGGAGTTTAATATAGATAAGTGTGAGATGTTGCAGTTTGGAAAGTCAAATCCAGGTAGGAATTTCATGGTGAATGGTAGGGCCTTAAGGTAGTGGAACAGAGGGACCTTGGAGTTCAGGTGCACAGTTCTCTGAAAGTGAAGTCCGAGGTAGACAGGGCAGTGAAGACGGCTTTTGGCACACTGACCTTGTTCAGTCAGGGTATTGAGTATAGAAGTTAGGAAGCAGTTGTACAGGACATTGGTGAGTCTGAACTTGGAATATTGTGTTCACTTTGTCACATTGCTAAAGGAAGGATGTTATTAAACTGGAAAGAGTTGAGAAGAAATTTACAAGGATGTTGCCAGGAGCCAAGGGACTGAGTTACAGGGAGAGGTTGGGCAAGCTAGGACTTTTTTCTTTAGAGCGTAGGAGATTGAGGGGGATCTCTTATAATATCATGAAATGCATGGATAGGGTGAATGTACTCAGTTTTTTTCCCAGGGTTGGGGAATCAAGGACTAGAGGCCATTAGTTTAAGGTAAGAGGGGAAAGAATACATGGGAAACTGAGGGGCAATGTTTTTACACAGAGGGTGGTACGCATATGGAAAGAGCTGCCAGCAGAAGTGGTTGAGGCGGGTACATTAACAACATTTAAAGGGTATTTGGAAGAATACACTGACGGGAAAGGTTTACAAGAATATGGGCCATGTGCAGGGAAATGGGATTAGTGTGGATGGATATTTTGGCTGGATAGACCTGTTTGGGTCTCCGCGCTGTATGACTCTATGACTCTAGGTCTTTTTAAATTTAGCCAATCAATTTAAACCAAGCCCTTAGATACTAAAAATGTATCAAATTTAAACTTGATGGTTTTGACAACCTCGAACCAATCTGATTGTAAAGAAATTAATTTGTCATCAAGGGTAAAAAGATAAGGGCATTTGGAAAGTTGGGGAGAGCCAACCACCATGTGCCAAGAGATAGCACCTTTTAGGTCTCGGAGAAAGAAGCCATCCAAATAATCAAAGGGACCATGGCATTTTTTTTTTTAGCTCGGAGTCCTCAGAGGAAATTATAGAGAAAATATCCATGACAGCAAGATCAGCGGAAGAAAGATGTTTGTGACTTGAGATCAATAGGCTGGAAGGCTGGAGAAGGCAGAGTGTTCCAGAAGACACATGGTTTGTGCGAACTTAGAGAGATCAAGTTTTAATTTACTGTTGTCTTATTAATTGAGTTGACGTAATTTGGACTTCTATTTATTTGAACAGCATTCCAGCAGGATTTTGTTAAGTTAGGGAACAGTTAGGATTTAGAGGGGAATTGTTCAGTTTGTTAGTACTTCTGTTAAGTTCTTCACTGTTAGGATTAAATGAATAACTTGTTGCTTGTTACTTATAAAGTGACTATCAGGAATTTTCTTTCATTTAATGTCCCCTTCTCTGTAACAGATTAGCCGAGGTAAGGCTAGCTTCTCTGGGTGTTTCGGGTTTAATTATTAGAAGGGGACCATAAAAGATTGGGGGCTTGTGTTTTATCAGAGGGGTTCTACCGCCCTTCCTAACAAAAGGAACAAGCGGAGACCATTCAGCCCTGTCCTCAAGCCTATTACATAGGAACAGGAGGAGGCCTTTCAGCTTATTCTTTTGCTTTACAATTTAGTAAGATTAATGTTAATCACAGGTCACTGTGAATTTCAAAGTAGATTAATTTCTGATTTATTATCCGCAGATGAAACGGAATGTTCCAGAGAGAACTGTACCCGGGACTGCAGTTGGAACATGTGGTCAGAATGGAGCAAGTGTTCCCGTTGGTGTGGGGTTGGTCAGCAACACCGCCTCCGGACATACAATCGGCCAGAGTCGGGTGGGCAGTGGTGTGAGGGAATCCTGACTGGGAATCTTGAAATCCGTTTCTGCAATGTAAAGGCTTGCAAAGGTGAGAGGTCACAGGGCATGGAGAGGCAGAGGTGAAAGGTCATTTGGGGTTTAAAAACTGATTGAGGTGAGATCAAGATCAGAGAGGAGCCAATGTCCTGCAAGGCGAGGTAGGTAATGGATGGCCAGAGAACCTGAGAGGTACAGAGACACCATCCTATCACCCAAGGAGTCCCCCAAACTGAGCACATCAGGGCATCTGACAGACCATAACAAACAGGTGCAGGAATAGCCCCTGCTCTGCTGTTTAATTTGGTTAAGGCTCACCTTGGGTTTTAACCTGGGCTTTGGAGTGTCATGGTAATATCACTGAACTATCAATGCAGTGAGCCAGGCTAATGTTCTGGGGGCACAAATTCAAATCCTACTGTGACAGATGGTGAAATTTAAATTCAGTAAAAATTTGGAATTAGTTTAATGGTGACCATTGATAGTTGTTGTAAAAACCCATCTGGTTCACCAGTATCCTTAAGGAAAGGAAATCTGCCATCCTTACCTGGTCTAGCCTACATGTCATACCAGGCTTACAGCAATGGAGTTGACTGTCATCTGCCCTCAGGGCAACTAAGGATAGACAATAAATGCTGACCCAGCCAGTAATATCCCCATCACATAATCCCCTGACAGACCAAATCCCTGTCCCTCCCAGCCATAAATACATTCCAAAGATTCACATCCCTCTGAGTAAGGAAACCTCTCCTTGACAGGGTCAATAGCCTTTCTCTGCTGTTAATGACTTCCCATCTGGGAAACTGAAGGATTCACATGTCCATGTTCAATAATGTCCAGCTGACTGCAGAGAGGGTGTTTGCCGTCACCAAGGAGGGACCCCCCACTATCATGACCCATTGGTGATGTCAGCAATGCTAGGGCAGAGTGGTACACTGCCACAGAGACAACCCATCCCTGAAGGAAGAGGGGACCATGGAGTAAACCCAGGGGTATCAGTGGACCTGGCCGGTGGACCATAGCTGAAATCTGAACACAGCATCTCGGCCAGTGGTCCCCAGTATTACAGAGACCAGCCTATAGCCAATTTGATTCACTCCATGTGATATCAAAAAATGGTTGGAGGCATTGGTTACTGCAAAAGCTATGGGCCCTGACAACATTCTGGCAATAGTACTGAAGAAGTACTGAAGCTCCAGAACTTGCTGCTGCCCAAGCCAATTACAACACTGGTATCTACCCAACAATGTGGAAAGTTGCCCAAGCATGTCCGGTACATAAAAAGCGGGACAAATCCAACCCGGCCAAGTACCGCCCCATCAGTCTCCCCTCGATCATCAGTAAAGAGATGAAAGGTGTCATCAACAGTACTGTCTGTATGTGACTGACATAAAAAGGGTCTTTCTAAACTTCAACAACCTACAACTATTAGAAATACAAAGTTCTTTATTAGGTTCGTAATGTTTATTGTCAGTACTAAATTGACTGGAAGGCATAGTAGTTAGAAAGTAATAATTAGAAATGTTCACTAATGCACTACAAAGATGGCTGAGCAGGTGATACACTGCAGCTGCAGAATGTGGGAGCTACTGGATACCAATGTGATCCTGGGAAAACACAACTATAGTAAATGTCTGGGGTGTTTTTTTTTATTCATTCATGGGATGTGGGCATTGCTGGCTGGGCCAGCGTTTATTACTTTTCCCCAATTGCCCAGAGGGCAGTTAAGAGTCAACCACATTGTTGTGGGTCTGGAGTAATATGTAGGCCAGACTGCATGAGGATGACAGATTTCCTCCCCTGAAGGATATTGGTGAACCATATGGATTTTTCCAACAATTATCATCAGGGTCTTAATTCCAGATATTTTATTGCATCTGGAATGTTTTTATTTTATCTGCTATAGCGGGATTTGAACCTGGGTCCCTGAATACAACCTGCGACTCTAATAGTCCTCGTGTTAGTAGCACAAGGTTGTCGCCTCCTCTATGGCTGCAGGAAGTTTGTCTCTGGGTCATGAGCTGGATGCTGAGCTGCAAACATTGCCATGTGTCAGGGAAGAAGGGAGCAGTTACCTGTATAGTTCTTAGTTCAAGAGGCAGTCACACCCTGCCTTCTAATTTGGTCAGCGGTCAGGGATAGGAGGCAGGCAAGGGGGCTCACACGGAAGGAGCCTTTATAATAGTCTGACAGTTTAAGGTTGTCTCCATTGTCTCCACTCGTTTTGAAGAAAGAGAGGGCTGCAAGGGGATGAACTAACTGACCAGAGCACCATGGTACAGGAGGCCACTCAAACAGGGAGAACAAGAAAGACTGTGGTGGGCATAGGGAACAGTATAGTGAGGGCGATAGGCACTGTTCTCTGCACCAAAGAGTGAGAATCCAGGTGACTGTGTTATCTGCCCAGTCCCAGGGCATCACAGGAATTTACAGTGAGACGGGGGAATCCAGTTGTTATGGTTATAGTCTGTCCAGACCATACGGCTATTCTCTCATTAAAGACAGATGGCTTATGATGATTTAACCTGAGGGCCACCACACCTCAGGCGAGGGGAAAGGTTGAGAAGGAGAGTCTTTCATGGTCTACAGTGGTACCAATGACAAAGGCTGAACTCGGAGACTTTCTGCTGAGTGAGTGTGAGAAACTAGGTAATAAATTAAATTGAAAAGCAATAATCTTCGATTATTTCCTCAGCCACAGCCAAATGGCACAAGATATACAAGATTAGAGAAACAAATGTACATCTCAAATGTACATCTGATGTGGGAGAGGTTCTTGCACGGACTTTGCTCATGCTGTTGGGAAGGCTTTAAATTAACCAGACAAGAGCGTTGGAACCAGGAGAGAACGGGAGAGGAGTGTTGGGACCAGGAGAGAACGGGAGAGGAGTGTTGGGACCAGGAGAGAA